GCCTCACCTCACGGGCTTTGCATTTTTCTTCTCTTGCTTTTCCAGGACTCCAAGTCAACCAGGGACCATGCGTCACCCTCAATGTCCTGAAAGTTGTGGACCTGAAGTACTGCAACAGTAATGCCCAGAGTGACCAGGTTTGAAACCCTTACTCTTCTCCAACCGAGGGCGGGGGCTGCCCAAAGCCAAGTCCCATGCCCCTCTGGTCCAGTATCTCCTTTTTGGAGAGCTTCCTCCTTGGGGATGGAGAGGCTGGAACACAGCAGGGGGTGACCAGAGCTTTCCCTTCAAGACCTTGAGCGTGCATTCCTTCTGGCTACTTCTCTTGCACGCCTCACACTCTAAAGGTACCACACGGGAACTGTAAGATGCAATGATTCGGGGAAGGCAGGCAAAGAATTCTTACAGATACTGCCCAACTTTGCCATAGCCTTGAGCCTTTGCCTTTAGGAAAATCCTGAGTTCACTGTTGGCGTTCCCTGCGGGCAGCACTTCTTCTGTTCTAGTCAGGAATTTTTTTTAAAGGCTTTGTGTTGACATCTGATTAATTTTACTGTTTAAAAATATTTCATGTGGTTTAGCAATCACAGCAGACGGATAATGGCAATGACATCATCTTTGGTGAAGATGGCCAGATTTCCTTTGGTGGGGGAGACCCCCAGATCTCCATCTCTGGTGTCTCGCAAAGCATTAACATCAACAGCCAAACACAAGAAGCAATTATCGAGCAAAAGAGTAAGCGTTTGTCATGGAAAACCATCTGGAACTACAACACGGTGAGTGGCAGGGAGCGCGCCTTGCCGGGCACTGTGCGAGGAGGCTGCCTCCCGCTCCAGCTGACCAAGGCACTGGGTTTCTTGCTTTCTTCTTAACTTTCTGCGTCCACAAGTTGGGATAAAAACTATGGACATTCCTTACTGTTTTAATCCAGTCTTTCTCCCAGTCTTAACAGTTGGAAAAGTGCACTGTGAGTGCTCAATAAGTTTCTCTTTCCAGGGCGTCATTGCAACCAGAGTGCTGCAACAGAACACCTGCTACATTTCCGTCATGAACAGAACGGAGATGCCCAGCTTTGATTCTCTTGTGAAAGTGGCTGCACAGGGCGGGGTAAGAGTATAATGGAGCAAACACTTGGCATATTGTACAGTAATTCAAAGTAAAGTGTTGTCCAAAATTTTGCTTTCAAAAGTTTCTAATTCATCAGGCCTTTAAAAGCCATTTTGATGACACCATTGATAACGCAGTTCTATTTATTTCAATGATATTTTATTCTTATGTCATTTGAGACTTCTCTAAAATTAGAATACCCTTATTCTGATGTTTTTAGAGGAGTTTTTTCATGTTATATTGCAGATATTTTAGGGAATTTTTACATTGTTTTCAATTAATATTTATATTGCCTGCTTTTTCATTCTCACATATGGTCCAAGAGTTTAAATTTTTCATAAGGTAGTCTTTATAATCTCCCATTCTTTGCACACTGACAAATTTATTCTTTTGAGGAGATCTTGTTTGTTAAAAACAAATATTCTAATAAGCAGGAAAATTTTAAATAAGCTCTCAAAACATCTTTGAATAACTAAGCAACATATTAGCACTATTTCAGCCCATTGAAATAGCACAGACATTTAAAAAATTATCTCAGCTTTCAGCACACTCACCGCTGGTAGACACTGGCTTACCCTGAAGTTGGAGAACTGAGTCCTTAAAAATCATGCCTTTAAAGGTCTAGAAGGCCTGGTGGGCAAGAAAAAGGGAAGACTGAACCAAGTACAGGCTTGAGCAAAAATATCCAGCTTTAACTACATTTTCATGCTTGCTTGTCCTACGGTGCATCTCTGACCCTCCTGTAGCTGGCTTCAACTTCTTACTTAGCAGCGAGAAGGAAACAGTGCAATGGGCTTTCCAAAACCCTTTGATCAAATAGCACTCTAATTTGGAAAGCCTCTAACAATCCCAGCCATCCCTGCCAAGTGTGTCTTTCCACTGGAGTCCATTGGGCCATTTCTTAACTGTGCTTTTTGCTGCTGGAGAGGAGCAGCTTGTCCCACGTGGCAGGACTGTCTTGCCCTCCACAGCACTGCGGCTTGAGAATTTGCCCTGAGGATGGTTTGTCCAAAGAAAAGGGGGGGGGGGGTTTCATTCGCTCTCCCAACTGCGCTTTCTCTGAGGAAAGCTTTCTCAGAGAAAGTTTCTCTGCAGCTTGCTGAGAAACCCTTTCTCTCAGGAATCCTGCAAGGGCACCAATTCTTTGGGCATGGCAATCCTTCCAAGGCCTTCAGAGGCCCTGCAATACCACCCTGCATCTGTCAGCTCAGACCTTTGCCTTGCAGCTGCCATTGCTCGGACTCCATTTTCTGACAGGCATCCAGGGGTTTGGTCCAGGCAACAAAACCTTCAAGTAGTAAAACTTCTCCTGCCACGCCTCCAGCCTGAGTAGCTCTGGGAGGGGAGAGGACAGTGACCGAGCAAATGCTTTGCTCAAACATCTGGCTTAACACACCGGCTGCGCTCCTCCGCTCCTGCTCCGCGCTTGCCTTGCGCTGCCCCTTCTCCCTAGGCTCCCTGCACCTTGACTGCCTTACAAAGGGCTGCCTTAGGAACTGTCTTCAAGGCACACTACTGCTCCCATGGGTCCCAGGCCATTAAAAGGCACCACTAAAGGCAGGGGGCAGTCACAGCCCAACCACCGGCTCGTCACTGCAGAACTCGCCATATGCCCGGCATGAAACGCATCACGCCACTGATCTTGCTGAATGCTCTCTTTTGCTGTCTAGAACCAGGTCAGTCTTGGAAGACCTACAAGGAAGCTCACCTTTGTCACCAGTGGATTGGTCAACAACCTCAACTCCTATGGAGCAAACACAATTGCTATGTGCAGCGGACTCACCATCTACAGAGCTTATGAAGTTCACGGTGAGTGCAAGCAAATCAATTCTGTCTCTCTCTCACCTGGCACTCTTTTCCCCTTGGGGAATGACTACTGCACCAGTGGTCCTCTTCCAGCTCAAGACAGACAGAAAGCAAGAGCTTTAGGTTAGGCAGAAAGCCTTCGGCATCTCTGCAGATCAGCACTGCACCAGGCTTGAGTCCCAGCCTGCAGAACTGACCTGCTCCAAATCCGTACTACCCCTTTCTGTGAAGTTAAGGTTCCTTAAGTTTGGGCTCAGAATTTTTCAGGCTGACTTCCTTGTCAATGCCCTGGCTAAGAAAAGGGGTAATTCTATGAACCACTATTGTCTCATTGCATTAGTGTTTTGTGACTCCAAATAGAATCTTATATTTGTATATTAAAACATTTCTATTGCAGCAATTATTCACAACCTTGCTTGCTCTGAGCAACAAAAATGCACCCTCATAGATTACCTGCCAATATCTCAGCTATTAACTCATAGTAATTTGGTTTTTTTTTAAAGGACTCAATTACACCTACAATGCACAATCATGCACTGCACTTGATGCCCTGCGACTTGTGGAGTTGAAGTACTGCAGCTCTCAGCTTTCTTGAAACAAGTGTGAGGGCTCCAGAGTTGCTGCCTAAAGCCAACCCAGTGCCCTTCTTCCCTTGCATTTCCTCTGTCAAGAGTTTTGGTCTTGATGGGTCAGATGCTGAAACAGATCAATTGGTGACCAAAGCTTTCAATTAAAAATCTTTTGCATAGAACATCTCTGGTTTGTTTCTCATTACTGTGCGCCTCAGTCATCTATGAAATTCCACAAAAAGCATTTTGACTGTCTCTCTTCTGACCCCTTCGAGCTCTTCTAATGTTCATTTCATTGCCAGCTCTCAACACTGGGCACACCCAGAGAGCTGGGCAATCCCTGGGGTGTGTATGTTACAAACAACACGTTCAGAGTTACGACCTTCCTTTCCCTGTGCAGAGAAAGATGCCTCACACAAAAAATCTTGATTGAAGTGGCACAAAAGGCAGAAAGAAGGAAGGACAAAGCAATGAATCTACCTTTTTTAGGGCAAGAGGAGTCTCCTTTCTGGGATTTACCGAGTTGTTCTTTACCTATAATATCAAGTCTTTTCTTTTGCAGTGAATAGCAGGGACTGGGTAATGGCCTCATGTTGAACACTAAAGTGGTTGAAAATGTCCTTCAAAGATGCATACACAGTATAAACACAACTGTTGATCACCTGAGACAGTGAAAGATTCCCAATCCTCTCCTGGTCAAGCCACTGTCAGAGATAAAAATCAAACAGAGTGAGAAGCCAAGCCCAAATATTTGACAGCTGAGAATTTTAGAGGGGAATCAGAGTATGTTTGGTTTTTTTTTAGCAAGGCAGGGTCCCTGTTCCTCAGAATTTTAAAATCAAGATTATTTCCTCTTCTCTAACAGAAAGGGCAGGATGCTCTGGGTTATCCAGGTGAATACAAATCTATCTAGCACAAACACCAGTCATATGAAGTCCTTCAGTTTTTGGCACCCTCTCACTGGCCCCAGAGGCTTCATTGTTGTAGTGGTTTGAACCTTGTTTTCCCCCAGAGGCTAAAAAGTGGTAACCCCCAAGGGGTGGAAACCCCTGGAAGTTTTGAAGTTCTGTCCAATGGGCGCTCCTGCAGAAATGTAAACATACCACAACCAGACTGGAAGAGAAGAGTTGTAGTTTGGGTTGTTAGAAGAAGTAGCCATGTTGTAGGAGCCACGAGGAAAGGGGTCCGGAGCCCCTCGGGGCCTCTGGGGCCCCCCAGCCCCAGTTGGGGGCTACAGAGACTTGGAATAGTGTTAAGCTGGACTATGTGTCTGTAGCTGTGAGTTGGGAGATGTTTTCTCCAAACTGGGCAGCGGCAGGAGAAGAGCAGCAGCCGGCACTGACCGGAGAAGCGGTGGCAGAGAGCCAGAAGAGATAAGACGGAGCAACAGAGACATGCAGCACCAGAGAGAGAGAAGAGCTGAGAAGCTCAGAGCGTCCTGGGAAGCTGGACCGGGACAGAGAGGAATGCAGAGGGGGTGACCTTGGCTCCCCCCTTGCACTGCTGCCAAGGTGGCAGCCTGAGACAGGGCACAGAGGCCCTGCAAGGAGCTTGAATCTCCTGGAGATACCAGACCGTCACGAAGACTCCCTGCACCTTCATGATATGATTGTCTGGGGTAACGAAGCCCATGGGAGACCCCTCAGTTGGTTGGTGACGGGGTCAAGGGAGCTTGGATACCTCCCTTGTGAGTGCTGGCAGAGATCCAGCAACGGTTGCATGCATGAGAGAGAGAGATAGACTGCTTTCTGCTACTCTGAAGAAGCTGCTGCCCTGAGAGACTGGAAGGGATCTGTCCTTCTTTCCCTCCTGGACTTTTATTTGGAGGGGAGAAGAGATCTGATCCATTGTAAATACTATATGTCATGGTAGAGATAGTTGTGATCGTGTGTATAATGTGTTATAGTATTTATTTGTACAGTCATTGTAATATATTCCCTTTCCCCCATTCTGAGTCTGGTTGTGTTTTGTCTGGAAAAACCCATCTCACATTGGGTTGAGATGTGGGAGGGGGAATGGAGCTAGAGAATTGGATTTCGGGGCTGTCTCAAACCATGACAATTGTGTAGGGGGTTGAAAGGCTGCAGAGTTCCCTGAGGCAGCTCTTGGGGAAAAGCATATGAATTACCTGGATGAGCACACAGCAGTCCCAGCAGAGGAGAGACACAAGCAGGAGTCTGTTGCTGTCAAACTCCTTCCTTTTCGGTATGGTTCAAGTTTTTTTAATTCCCTCACAGACCATCAGTTCTCATTTTGTGGAGACTGAAGAATGAGAAAAACAGGCAAGAAACAAAGTTTAGGAGGGATTTAGTACCTTAATACAATCATTCAGTTCTTGTCATGCCCTATTTTGCCTTCTCCTTGGCATTTCTCAAACTCCTTTTCCAGTAGGGACTGGAAAGAAACTTCTTAGTAGTTTTATCTGTGTTTTAATACCAAACATACATGAGTGAAATAAAAAGGAACTCCAGCCATGTCATGAACCAAAACAACTTCTTAGCAGTCTGATTAGAGGAACTATAAGTCTTTTCCTTTAGTAGTTTATTACTCTCACGCACCATATATAAGACCTTGTGCACAGTGGGTACAACATGAACATATTGAAACACAGGGCGCTGCACTCCCACTGCCAGCAGAGTACACCTCCTCTGCACTCAAGGAGTCCAACCAAGGCATCAGTTGGCTGCAATAAGCTTTACTTGAATTTAAGTGCCTTTGAAGTAAAGCCCAATTTAACTTTCCCTTAGTCATTATGCCTATATATACTCATTTCTTCTGAAAAACACCCAAGAAACATGAGCTCCTGCTTTCCTAAGCATCAATGTGCTTAGACACAGGTAAGGGCAGAGCGACCTGGGAGATCCACAGTTATTCACTGAAGGAGAACTTCAGCAGTAACCACGATCTCATAGTTTTCAGCTTCTACTGACTGACTGAATTCTGCTCATCAGACAAAGACAAAAATTAATGATTAATTTCTAAAAAGCATTTGACTAATTAACACGATTGCAAGAGAGAACACAGTCCAAGTTGGTTGTCTCAGACAAAGCCCGGATATACCTCCAACAGGAAAGGCTTGCTTTTTGGAGGCTTTTTCCCCACAGTTTATCACATATCTCCCAGGAAAGTACCTGAAATCAGCGCACACATGCTCGGAGCCAAGCACCAGAGTCCTCAAAGTGCCTTCTGTATGAAGTAGTTGAAGGAAGGAGCTACATAAGAAGGGTTGTAACCCCTCTAATTTCACTTTCCCCAGGCCTCAGGCAGAGGGAGGTTTGGCTTAGGAAGCCATGACTCCAAACCCCTTGGTGAACATGACATTTCACAATGATGCCACATTCTCAAAGCAGTCCTTGTGCCTTCCATACTTCAAATTTAAGTGAAGCCTCTTAAACTTTTCCCCAAATAAAACCCCTCTTTCCTCATCTGTTACACTTTGAGAAACAGGTAGAGCAAGTAATATCTTGTTACAACACAGTAACATTTATTGTCCCAGGAAACCTAATTTCTCTGTTATTTTCATATGGCCAAATATTTTCAATCACAGAATCACAGAATGAGTCAGGTTGGAAGGGACCACAGTGGGTCATTTAGTTCAGCCTCCTTGCTCCAGCAGGGTCATCTCAGAACACATGGCACAGGATTGTGTCCAAATGGTTCTAGAGTATCTCCAGTGACGGAGAGTCCGAAGCCTCCCTGGGCAACCTGTTCCAGTGCTTGGTCACTACTCAGAAAGGAAGTTCTTCCTCATATTCAGGTGGAACTTCCCAGGCATCAGTTTCTGTCCATTGCCTTTTGTCCTGTTGCTGGGCAGAGCCTTGTCCATCCTCTGACACCTCTCCACAGACACTGACATTGATGGGGGTCCCTTCTCAGTTGCCTCTTCCTGAGGTTAAACAGGCCCAACTCTCTCAGCCTGTCCTTGTGAGAGAGATGTTCCAGTCTCCACATCATCTTCATCGCCTCCACTGGACCATGGAGCTCCATGTCTCTCCTGTACTGAGGAGCCCAGAACTGGACACAGGACTCCAGATGTGGCCTCTTTAGATCTGAGCAGAGGGGCAGGATCATCTCCCTCGACCTGCTGGGAATGCTCTTCCTAATGCACTCCAGAACACCATTTCAGTTTCTTGCCCACAAGGCACGCTGCTGGCTCAGGGACAACTTATTGTCCGTCAGAACCCCCAGGTTCTTCTCCACAGAGCTGCTCTACAACAGGTCACCCCCAGCCTGTACCAATGCTTGGGGTTATTTTCCTTGGATGCAGGACCTGCATTTGCTCTTGCTAAACTTCACACATATCTTCTCTGCCCATCTCCCCAACCTGTCAAGGTCCCTCTGAAGGGCTGCACAGCACTCTGGGGGATCAGCCACCCCTCCCATGTTTGTGTCAGCAGCAAACTTGTTGAGGAGGCATCGACCCTCTCATCCAAGTCACTGATGAGTAAGTTAAACAATACTGGGTCCAGCATTGAACCCTGGGGGACACCACTAGTGACAGGCCTCCAAATAGACCCTGTGCCTTTGGTTATGATCTCCTGAGATCTGTCGCTCAGCCAGTTCTCAATCCACCTCATGGTCCACACATCCAGTGCACTCTTCCTGAGTTTGCCTATGAGGATGTTGTGAGAGACAGAGTCAAAAGCCTTGC